GGACGGGGGAAGGAAGTGGGCAGAAAGGCTTTGCAGACCCAGAAGGGGTTTGGGCATGATAGGTAAAGCTTTGTGCTTCTCAGAAGCAGAAAGCTACTCCTTTGAGTTCAGGAGTCAATTAGCCCCCGGCAGGGTGCAGAAATGTCTGGGAGGAAGAATTCAGTGCAAGTGAATTTCCAACAGGGGTAGAAAGAAGGGAGGGGAAATATCAGGCCATCCACTCTCAGAAAATGTTAAGTAAATAATAAACACCTCCAATGAGGCACAAGGGACTTACAGAGCTAAGTATAGTACCCAAAGGACTCCTGGGGCTAGGTCTTCAAACACATCCATCTCCACCGTGGAAATTCAACTTGACAGCAAGAGGCGTGGCAACTTGAGTGGAGAGCATTTGGTGGAGGGGGCAGGGAGGAATCCAGCAGAGAAGGAACTTGGGCTTACTCAGCTCTTCGGCATCTGAGGCTTACCCCTAAACAACCCCGGGCCCAGGGCCCTGGGACCTCAGGGATTCCCCCTGCAGCCCAGGGATTCTCGGTGACCTTCCTGCAGAAAGAGAAGAGGAGTGGAGACTGGAGACGAGGGACAGCAGGGCTACCCTCACAACATGGTGCCTTCCCAGGCAGCCTGCATTCATTCCTTCCTCTCTTTGTGACATTTCAATCACCCTCCTCAAGAGTTCATTTTCTTCAACCTTTAAGCCTGCATGCTTCTTTCTGTTTTAGAAAAATGCACACACGCATCTGAAAATAATGTTAAAAAGGCTTCAACTCTTGACACCGTTCTCTCTCATTCTTCTTGTTTTCTCTGTTTATTTCTGCCACCAAACTTTCCACAAAGCCTGGCCTTTTCTTGCCCCTCTAATTTGCTAACCATCCCTCTCCTGCCCGAGGCTACTGGACACCTGCCTAATTGCCCCAGGGTCCGACATTCTAAGACGCCTTTGGGGCCTTGTGAGTTGCAGGCTTTTCCCAGTTTCACTCCATCTTACCTTCATGATAATTTTCCACAGACATCACTGTTACACATCCTTCTGCTGTAAGAATCTGTAATGGCTCCTGAATCAAGGTTGAACTCTTGAGATACTTTATCTGTCCTCTACCAATTCGCTTTTACCATTCCTCTGTTCTCACAGAGAACATGGGCATCTCTGTCCCGATAGAATCTAAAAGGCTGGATTATAAGCATTGAAATGGTAGAGGTCAAGTCTTATGAGATGTTAAAGCGACTCAATACTATACACAAGCTTAATTATCCCAAATGTTCCCACATGGTTTGGCCTCACAGACTGAAAAAAAAAAAAAATTGCTCAGCTGTTGACCATGTGACAATCCTTCCCCTAAAGGAATATATGGCCTGGAGGAATCGCCACTAGGAGAGTGTGGTCAGGCCATTCTATGTCTGAGATGCGATTTACAAGGGTCACAACAAGCAGCGGAATGAAAGCATGAAATTCCTGCAAAATTCCAGTCTTGCTCCCTCGTGAGAAATTTCACAAGCTTCCTACTTCGTAAAATTGCTATGCTTTTCCAACCAGGCCACATATTAGAATCATCTGGAGAGCTTTTTAAAAATACTAGGCTCCCTTTCTCTACAGATATTCTGGCTTGAATCATACAGTGTGAGACCCAGACACTGACATTTTTTTTTATTCTTGTGATTCTAAGCTATAGCCAGGTTAAAGGTTCACAGAGGTAGAAATGGGCGGAGGAGGGCTGGTGTGGTGTTTTGGGAATGATGGCATAGACTGTGTATGGGGACCCTTCTTGGTGCAGTGATCAGAGGGCACACCTCCATCCAAATTCTCTCTTCCTATCCCATAAACCCATCTGGATTTTATCATGCCTTTCTGTCATTGATGATCACATGGGTAAGCACTGTTCATAAGACAACTGCCTTCTTGGGGGAGGTCCTAGGAACCAAAACTTAACATTTTCTTTTTCTTTTTTTTATCCCTCCTTTCTCACTGCCCCCCCAACCTCCAAACTACAGGGAACGGCTGCCTGTCAACTTCTTTAAGTTTCAGTTTCGGAATGTAGAGTACAGCTCCGGGCGGAACAAGACCTTCCTCTGCTATGTGGTAGAAGTACAGAGCAAGGGAGGCCAAGTTCAAGCATCTCGGGGCTACTTAGAGGATGAGCATGCAGCTGCCCACGCAGAGGAAGCCTTCTTCAACACCATTCTGCCAACCTTTGACCCAGCCCTGCGGTACAATGTCACCTGGTACGTGTCCTCCAGCCCCTGTGCAGCCTGTGCTGACCGCATCATCAAAACCCTTGGCAAGACCAAGAACCTGCGCCTGCTCATTCTGGTGGGGCGCCTCTTCATGTGGGAAGAGCCCGAGATCCAGGCTGCTCTGAAGAAGCTGAGGGAAGCTGGCTGCAGACTGCGCATCATGAAACCCCAGGACTTCGAGTACGTCTGGCAGAATTTTGTGGAGCAGGAAGAAGGAGAATCCAAGGCCTTCGAGCCCTGGGAGGACATTCAGGAGAACTTCCTTTACTATGAGGAAAAGTTGGCGGACATCCTCAAGTAGTCGGCAGGGCTCAGCCTCACGTGAGTTTCCCAAGTGCCCTGGCACTGTTACTCTATTAACCTAAGTTAATGTGGCTATAAGGCTTGAGGTCAGGTGGGGTGAGTGGTATTAATGTTTAATTTCCCTTGTGAAAGGCTACATTTCTCAGACTTTGGTTGGTTGTAATCTTAAAACCACCTTGTCTCCTTTCCTAATTCTAGGTTTCTGTCCCTAAACTTGTTCCTTCCTACCCTTTCATATCAAACTAACCTCGGAAGACTAACTTGGTATACCCAGGCTTGATAACATTCCTAGGCTCCAATGAGACAGAATGGTCTTCCTTAGCAACACTTACAAGGAAGTTGCTCCTGAACAACAGCAGAGGCGAGAATGTAAAACCCCTAAGCCTGGTACTGTGTGCACATCAGCACGAAACCTGGAGGCCTCCCAAATGTCCTGCTCCCAACATCGTTTACCCTCCTACCTTTCCATTGTTTTCTCTGATGCAGGTCTTTCACTTCTCAAAGTGCAGTTTTTTCATTTTGAGTAACTTGAGACATCCCAAGTGGATTTTTTTTTTAAGATTTATTTTATTTTTATTGGAAAGGCAGATATACAGAGAGGAGAGACAGAGAGGAAGATCTTCCATCCGATGATTCACCTCCCAAGTGACCGCAACGGCTGATGCTATGCCGTATGCCGATCCAAAGCCAGGATCCAGGAACTTCTTTCAGGTATCCCACACGGGTGCAGAGTCCCAAAGCTTTGGGCCGTCCTCAACTGCTTTCCCGGGCCACAGGCAGGGATCTGGATGGGAAGTGGAGCTGTCAGGATTAGAACCGGCGCCCATATGGGATCCTGGTGCAAGGCGAGGACCCTTAACCACTGCACCATCACGCCAGGCCCGTGGATTTTTTTTTTAAATCACTATCAACTCCCATATTTCCAAATGACTAGGCTTGATGGGACGGCATTAACTGCTGGGGAATGTACATCATCAGATCTCAGGAAGAATGCTGACTGCAGGCAGGTGGGGTAATAAAGCAGCAAGCTAGTCTGCACAGGGATGTTTAAAGGGTTAAAAGATGTTTACAAATTAGGCGGCTTTCCCTAAAGTAGCCTCCTAAAAGATTAGCAGAAGTGATAGGGTGGGAAGTAAAGATTAGCTATTTAAGCAAATAATTAGGACACAATTAAGGCCAATTTGGCCTCTTGCTGTGGGTAAATTAGACTCTGAGATAAACAGGCCACTTGCCCTCTGGAAAGAGGGTAAGAAACTTTACTATTTTCTTTTGAATTTGGTCTGATCTCCTTTGCTCCCTCAGAAATGTTAAGACTGAACCCTTTATCAAGTCTGTAATTGCTGGTCTAGAGCTTCCCACAGAGGGGGTCTTCACCGCCCTCACAGACACCCTGAATTCTGGAGCAACACACACATTAACGGAGACCAACATGCTTCCAGCAAGAAGGCCATTCACTTTTGGCATCTCTCACATCTAACACCCTGAAGAGAAGTTGTCTCTTCCTCCACATAGTGGCAGGGCCTGAGTATTCTGGTGCTTCTTGTGGCAACTGTCTTCCATTTGCCATACACGTGGGCACCCATGCATCTGAGAGCTGAGCAGCTGACAATCCATGGAGACACTTACTTTCAGCCACTTTTTTTTTTTTACCTCTTTTTTATTATTGTCATTTTATGATACAGTTCCCTAGGCCCTGGGATTTCCCTTTTCCCCTCCCCAAGTCCCCCACACCCACTGATTTCCCCTATATTATTACTATAGCATAGCTTTTCCATACACAGTTATAGGTCCATCATTGCGGGCATGGACCATGACAGGGTGTCCAGCATCCTATTGTCAAGATACAGTAAACAGCTTCATTGGGAGTCCATCCTTGTATGGACATAGATGCATACTGCATCCTCACATCTGAATATGATAGTCTCTATTATACAGTTACTATACATCCCCTTAAATGAAAAGCCACAAAACAAAATCAACAGGAAGAAAAATAGAAATTTACAACACCATGAAGTTAAATAACATGCTACTGAATGACTAATGTGTTGCTGAAGAAATGAAAAAAAATCAAAAACCTTCTTGAAGAAAATGATGCTACTGTATGATCTATGAGTCAATGAAGAATTTAATCAGAAGAAAGTGTTTTGAAGAGATGAAACTGATGAAAAAAATCAAAATCCATGATATGGTTCCAGCTGATTTTTGTTGGTGAAATGTGTCTCCAGTCTACTAATCTATGACATTTGATTGATGAGTTTAAGCCATTTACATTCAGGGTTAATATGAATGGGTGGTAATTTGGTCCTGTCATTTTAGCAATGGGTTGTTCATTGATTTAGTCTTCTGTTGTTATTTTACTGGGATGTTCTTCACATTTGCCTTTGGTTTTGGATTTAATGAAATCATGAGGGAAAATTTTCCTAATCTAGAGAAAGAATTGGGAAACAACATCCAGGAGGGGCACAGAACTCCCAACAGGCTTGATCAAAAGTGATCTTCACCACAACACATGATAATCAAGCTCTCTTCAATCAAACATAAGGAAAAAATCCTTAAATGTGCACGTGAAAAAAAATCAACTGACATATAAAGGAATGCCAATTAAACTCACAGGAAACCTCTCACAGGAAACTCTACAGGCCAGAAGAGAATGGAGTCACATATATCAGATTCTAAAAGAAAAAAATTGTTGGCCCAGGATAACATACTCGGCAAAACTTTCCTTTTGCTTTGAAAATGAAATGTTTCCACAGTATAAAAAAAAAATTAAAAGAATATTCCTCTTCCAAACCTGCCCTACAAATGATACTTAAAGATGTTCTCTTGACAGAGAAAAGGAATAATGCCCAGCCATTTCTTTTAAAAAGCAAGGTCCAGGCCTTGCATCCAGTGAGACAATGGTAGGGTATTACCACACTTTGCTCACATCAGACCATACCATGCTTAGCAGTGTTCAGCAGTAGTGAAAATGACTTTCCAAGGGTGACCTCTGAAAATGAAACTCTTTGCTTTTAAATTCATTGAAGTACTATCACTGTAATTAAATTCTACAGACTGATAACAGGTTCCTAAAGTTTGACTCTAATGTATCTTCTTACACACCTTACATGGGCCACTTGTTTCACACACCTTACTAACAACTAGCAGATTCCCAGAAATGTTTTTTTTTTTAAGGAACTTTTCATAGAAATTGAGAATTTCATGGAAGACTGAAAAAATCTTCAGTTTTCGATAATTGAGGGTTGTATCTTACACTAAACAGAAGCAAAAGAAATAAATCCGCTTGAGAGCAACATCCATTTCTCTCTTTTTAAAATTTTCTATTTGGGAAGCAGCGAGAGAGATTGCAAGAAGATGAGAGCTAGCTCTCATCAGCTGGCTCACTCCCTAAATGCTAGCAAGAGCTGCAGCCCACAGCCAGGAGCCAGGAACACAATCCAGGGTTCCCACACAATGGCACAAATCCAATGATTTGAGCCATCACTGCTGCCTCCCAGGTTTTGCATTGGCACAAGGTTAGGGTTAGGAGCCAGAACTGGGAATCAAACCCATGTATTCCCATGTGGGATGCAGGCATCCTTACTGCTAGACTAAACACCTGCTCCCCTAAGTTGGATTATTTTTAAGCAGACTAATACTGGACATTTCACAAATTGTAAGCCTCCCTGTTAAGTGCGCAAAAGTAACTATATTATGTTGTCACGTTAGCATACTCCCTCCCTTTCCATTTGAGCTGCTCATGCTCCTTAAAGAATAGGTTAAAATGGACAATGTTTAAAAAGATGGCATGGAAAAGAGTTATAAACTAGAAGTTCAAAAGAACAACCTTGCTTAACTAAGGTGATCTCAAGAAGTAAGCATTCGTTAAGTAAAATTTGCTTTCATTTAAAAGAGTGACAGGGTGTGGGGATGTGGCCTCATTGGCTTTAATCACTTCTCAGGATGCCCACACCCTGTATTGGAGTGCTGGTTTGAGACTTGGCCATTCCACTTATGATCCTGCTTCCACTGGTGCACATCTGGAGGGCAAGAGGCCTGCCACCCGTGTAGGAGATTCCGATGGAGTCCTCAGCTTGATTTCACCCTTGCCCAGCTCTGGCTGTTGCAAGGCTTTTGGGAAGTGAAACCACAGATGAAAAATCTCTCTCGCCTATTTCTCTAGCAGAAGCCAAGAGCCTAACTCCATCTGGGTCTCCTGTGTAGATGGAAGGCATCCAAACACTTGGGTCATCTGCTGCTGCTTTGCTCAGGAGAATTAGTAAGGAGCTGGATGGGAAGGGAGTGCATGGGGCGTTAGCATTGCAGACAGTGACCTGACTGGCTGCACTATGATGCTGACCTCTAGAGAGTTTTAAAACAAATGACAGAATAGCAGAGTTACAGCAGATCTTTTCTGGGGCTTTGTGTGTGAGCCAAAGTACAATATGAATGAATGAAACAAGTCTATCCTGAATAAAGCTGAAGCCATGAGACTACAGGATGAAACTGGAAATAGAGGAGCTTATGGAATGGCAGGGCTTCCAGTAACATGCTTTGTTTTCTCATTAGGGTCTGCCTGCTGCCACCAACAGACAGCAGCGACATGTACGGCCATCTGGAACAAACCTGTCCTAATGTCACCTGGAGCTGGACACACAACAAATTCTACTAGACAAGGCCCTTGAAGACTCAAGATACACTTCTCATGCTATAATTCACTTAGGCTGTGCCTCTCTAAGGCTGCTATTGGCAAAAACAAAAGTTGGAGAGAGATGCAAGCAATGTGGGCACCAGGGGTCTGCGGGCTGAAGGTCCTAAGTAGCCTCCAGAGGGGCTGCTTAAGGCAGCAGGCCTGTCTAAAGACAGAGATCTTTGGAACGTGTCCAGAAGTTCATTGTGTGTTAACTTTTTAAAAAGAGAAACAACAATATTAATAAAAGAAATTGTGTGGTTCCCTGTGGCCAGGTTTTTTAAAGGAACTTGGACATCTAGACACTACCATGGGTACTAAGCAAGGCCCGGGCATGGGCTAACCTAGGGAGGGTTAATCCAGGACCTGTCTAGAAAACCTGAGACACTCCCATGAAGACTTCTCACTAGGGCCTTGATTAAAAAAAAAAAAAAAAAAGATTTATTTTTATTGGAAAGGCAGATCAGATTTACACAGAGACACAAAGATCTCATGTCTGCTGGTTCACTCCCCAGTGGTTACAACAGCCAGAGCTGAGCTGAACCAAAACCAGAAGGCAGAAACTTCTTCTGGGTCTCCCACATGGGTGCAGGGTCCCAAGGCTTTGGGCCGTCCTCTGCTGCTTTCCCAGCCAAAAGTAGGGAGTTGGATGGGAAGTGGAACAGCCAGCACTTGCAAGATAAGGATTGAGCCGTTGAGTCAACATGCCAGGCCCTCTTAAGAGGTATTCCACATCCTAGTAACCACCAATAAGCTAAGTCATTTGATTAGAGAAAGGTGAAAAGCAGGAGGAGCTTAATGCTCACATACATTGTGGGAAAGCTCATTCAAGTGGTACCTGACAGGATAGAATGCTAAAACTCTAGTTTTTACATGGTTGATTTTGAATCCTGTGTGGTAGAAACAAAATTCATGTGAATTTTTGTGTGTTTTCCAAACTCTAACTAGTATTCCAGGAATAACCTGTTGGTTCTGATTATCAGGTCTCCAGTGTGATAAGTCATCAGAATTTGACCCCAAGACCACCTGCAAATAACAAGCACTCAAGCACACACATGCTGAGTCTCAGAATTCCTCATACAGTCCATCCTGATGAGGTTTTGCTAGGAAAGTCAAGGCTCAGACTCCATGAAAAAAACCAGCTATAATCCCTTTGAAGATACAAAGACTAGAAAACCAATGTTTTCATCCAAGTGTTAAGATTTATTTGCATAGAATTAAACAACATACTTCCAATTCTTTTAAGTTGCCACTTATCACTCCCTTTTTCAACTTTGTGCAGCTTTAATATTCTTTATTCTCTTTACACATCCTCTTTTCAATTTTGTGTGGAAACAAAGCTTTAAAAAAAGCCTTCAGCCTGCAAGTCTGATGACAAACTTGCCCCTGCACTGCATCTACACCAATAACAGAGAACTTGTCTGCTCTACAGACATAAGGTGAAACACTTTTTGAAACTGCTGCCTATCAGGCTGAAATGTGGTAGGAACACAAGTCTAAAGTACAAAGATTACATTTAACCACCTTCCTGGTGTTGCAATTAAGTGCCTTCTGAAGCCTAGTGTTTTTACACCAGGCAATGAAGCAACTCCACTGGTGGACGCGGAATTGGCCCTAGAGAGAAAATCGATACTAAGTCTGGCTGCCGTTTTAATTCCCAACACTACAGAAAGGGGTGGGGAGGAAACAGCTACTCTCTGCCCACTGTTTCTGACCCTGAATCACGGGCTTAACTTCATGAACTTTATAATTCCCAAGAAAACAAGAGAACCTGTCCTCTTGGCATCACAAGAAAGATGAACTAATATTTACTCGATGTTCTTGAGATCACTTGGCTGTAATGATCAGGATCTTTCGTGCCGGTTAAAAAGAGAGAAATAGGGGCACCTCACCCAGACACCAAATCTGAAGGTTTTTTTTTTTTTCTTTTTTAAAAAATGGTCTTTACTGCTTTTTAAAGAAAGATTTCTGTTGAGGATCACTGACGTATTGAGTCACTCCTCCACGGCGAGCACTCTGCCAGTTATTTCCCATTTTATTTATTTCATAATTAAATTTAGACAATCACAGAAACAGTGGGGCAGACGGAAGACAGCAAGGTCCATCATAAAGGCATCACAAACACCTGCCTTTGACCACACTGATGCAGTTTCTGTCCCTTCATATTTTTCATCTTGTTACTCTTTCCAAAGAGCTCCTGGGTGCCTCAAAATCAAGTTACAGCTGAATCCTGTGACTCCAGTCCAGAACAACACCAGCACAAGCACAGAGCTTCAGGGAACCCCAATATTTATTCTTCTGTTTTTATCACCCACATTCACTGTGAACAATACAGAACTCAATTTTGTAACCAAAACAAAACCTGTATTCCTCTCCTAGGATGAGTCTAACGACATGAGGATAATTAAAATTCAGTGTACAAATGACACCAGATATCAAACCAATGCAAAAGCACTTAAAATTTCTCTCAGGAAACAGAGAAGCAGAATCAATGCTGGCACCTAGTGGCCAGCCAGAGACGCCAGCGTACTACAAAACTGAGGTTGTAACCCGTCTCCCTGTCTGGAACAAGGCCATCTCTCTCGAACATCCTGTGAAAAGCACAGCAACATATCCCAAGAAACCCTCCATCTGAGCCCAGGTCAAGTGCTGGAATACAGTGACCAAGACTGGCCTGTGACACAGACCGACTTCACATGAAATTTTCCTTTGCCCATTTAAAGTCGGTTTGCCAGTCCTAAGGCCCAGTAGGGATGACAAGGGAGATCATGGACACGCCCAAAATGTGCATCCATTCAGAGTGTATACACAGTGATCTTGATATCAGTAGCCTCAAACACCTCCTCAATCATCGCAGACACATGTTCCCACTGCAGACGATCAAGACCGCATCCAATCCTGAAAAAGACAAAACACCTCCATTGGCCGTGATGAAGGAATCCTGCAAAGTACTCTTTCCCCTTTACCTCTGAGCTGCACCTAACCACAGCATAAAGACAGGTCATCTCATCTCCCACACACAGACCCCACAGAAAGAGTCTGGAAGTCGATTCTTGCTGAGTCACCCAAGACTTTTCCTAGACAGATCCAGCATCCAACAGCTGTATATTTCCTTTGCCCACAAAGTCTCCAGTTATTTCATCCTGCACTTAGAACTGTGCAGCTCCGCCATGACACCAGACTATCCTTCTACATCTACTGATGCAAACTGACTGTGGATCAACAGGAAAAATTGTACTTATGATAATGGAATGTGAAAAAAGAAAAAAAAAAAGGTAAGAGGGACAAGATCTATGCAAAATAAGAGAGATTTGAAATGACATGCTGGCTGCAATCCAGCAGTAAGGTCCTTGTAACACTCTGGCAAGCAACCTCCAGCAGCCCATAATATTCTACGATCTGACACCTCTCTTCTAACATGTTACTTTATTGATCTTTAACTTCCTTAGAGAAAAATAAGGCCTAAAACTGCTAATTTCTTATCATAATGTGATAATTAAGTTCCTGAAGAACTATGACACATACACAAGAGTTTCTGATATATAAGCCATGAATATACTGAAGACCAGTTCAAGAATGGGGACACTGTAGCCACAAAGTCACAAAAAATCAGAGTAGCTCAGGGCTTTGAATCAATCTGCATGCCATCACTGACTAAAAGCTACTCATGCAAGAGGCACTGCAGAGGTGAGGCCTATTTCCTGAGAAGGAAACAAAGGGGCTAAGGAACCCAGTTTTATTGCCTTAAATTCCCAAAAGCAAGTCTAACAAGTTACATCAGGGACAGATCTCTTGGCTACCACCAGAGCTGACACGGTAAAAGTGGTAATGATTTACATACAACTTGTCCTGCCACAAGATTAATGGGGCACAGAGACAACAAGTAGCTTTGGTTTGGTTCTCTGGCTAAAGGAGCAGAGGCCAAGCCTCAAGCAGAGAATGCAGGGACTTCAACAAATGTGACTGAATGATGTTTCCTCACTAGCAAGGAGGCTGAGACAGGGAATTATTTGGCTCATTCAAGTCAAGCTAGAAAATGCCTATTTCTTCACATAAAGTCAAACTGGGTCACTGGCATTTTGAAATTTGCTCATCTGGAAATCCTCCTCTGTTGTTCGTCTCTGGATAACACAGTAAACCCCACCAATGAATCAAATCTTCACCTAGAACCCCAGCTTTCCTTGCCTGGGCATGGAGAGGTCAGTGACGCCATTTTGGAGACAATGGGACTTCATGGCCTCTAAACTCTTTCGTAGGTTTTCATAAGTCGGCTTGTGTGAAACCCTTTTCTTTGTAATCTGAACACAAAGAAAAAATTCAAACTTTGTTATTCCAAAATGATAGCCCATTAAAAAGCATTACATTTGCCCATATCCTCATAATTTAACTTGCATTTTTGCAAGATAATTAATCTTGAGTAGGGAGGACAAATGTCCTACCGCTCCTTCTATACTGTTAGAGGAGATTCCCAGGAAAACCCACTAAGAGGGCTAAGACGTCTACACTCAGCCTACTGAGAAGTTTCTTTTTTTAAGGAATGACAGGTTGCCCCTACTGTCACTTGCTGCTAAACCAAGTTAGAGAATATCTTTGTGTCACTTCCAAAGATAAGGGGAATATCTACAACAAGGAAGAACTGATACCACCTGCAAATCCTGTGAACCTGTCTCTGGTTGCTCAGAAACCATGCTTGCCTGCTTTTGGTTTCCCATAAAATAGCAACAAGTAATGTTCCCAACTCTAGAATGAAAACTCTAGCAGTCACACCAGCCTTAAAGAATCCAGGGTACATCTCCCACTTAGTGCACTGTGCACATCAAGCTGACAGTGAGTAGGCTGTACCATGACCGAGGAAGCTGGCCCTTGCTGAAGCCAAAGGCCATCTGGTTAGCTGGAGACTCCCACACTCAGGAACAGGCAGGAGAAGAATGGGTATTACTTAACACAGGATTTGACAGGAGGGAGTCAAAGAGAAACTCCTTTGGAGAATCTGGCTCAGGAGACACTGCCGTTTCCATCCCACCGTAACCAGAAGGAAAATATGGGAGGCATCCTGCAAGTCTTGGGACAAAAGCCTGTAGTGGATGGCACCATACTGTGTCCACAGAAACGGGATACAGCCACTCATTCCTTTTTAACCCAAGGATCCCCACAGCACCACCACTGAGCTGTCACATGAGCTTTCTGACATCCTGGCTATCTAGAAGGCAGCACTGTGCTCAACACAGTGTGGCCCAGCTGTTTGCACTCCTCAGAACT